AGAAAAGCTGGAACAAAGCAGCATTGTGAAGGAGAGAGGCACTCAGTACTTCAAGGTAAGCTGCAGCCTCCAAGTACTGTTACTGTTCCTTGACTCATGTCATAAGCTGGTGGTGATCTCCGTCCTGCATCACTGCGCAGGGATGGTCATGGTATCCTCAGGCTTTGTTGGTCGCACTGTCCAAGTATTAGCTGCACTGCAGAATTAGGGGTTTTTGTTTGTTTTGTTTCTTTGTTCTTGCTTCAAGTCTCTTTGTTACACCTAGAGGTAGCTTTGGCACGTAGACTGAGTAGTGGCAAAGTTACAGTACTGGAAGTTGCCACTCTAAGATAGTGCTTTGAATGAGAAGCATTCCTTTTAGGATGTAGATGTGTAGAGAAGTTGTGTTTTAAAAGACTGAGTAGCTCATGACAGGATTTTTCTGGGATACTCCCATGACCTTCTTGGTGCAGTAGTTGTCCTGATAGCTTTGTGTGCCTCATCTTCCTTTGTGTTTAGAGTTAAATACACAAAATTGGATGGGGGCTTAGAGCAAAATATCAGTGCTGGCCTACATCCCCTGCTTTAGTAAGTATAGGGTTGCTAAAAAGTTTCTAGTCTTGTGCAGGAATTGCTGACAAATACAGTATATTGTTTGATGATACAGGTTTGTTTACTTAGAATTGTTTTCTCTGAGGTATTGCTCAAGTGGAAGAAGCAAATAAAGTTTCCTATCGTAAGCTGTTTGGATGTTTAAACTGCTTTGTGTACAGGAGGGGAAATACAAGCGAGCAACCTTGCAATATAAGAAGATTGTGTCATGGCTGGAGCATGAATCGGGACTTTCTGATGAGGAAGATGCAAAAGCCAAGAGCCTGAGGCTGGCTGCCCACCTTAATCTAGCTATGTGCCACCTCAAGCTGAAGGAATATTCCCAGGCTTTGGAGAACTGCAACAAGGTAATAAGAAGCTTCTTCTAATATATTTTTATTATTGTTATTTATGTATTTTACTTCCTGGCATACTAACTGAGAACACTTGAGCACTTAAGAAGTAGAAATGAGGAGACAAGGCAAAGATAACTGCGGGCAAAGATCAAAGAGGTCATAATAGGTCAGGATTAAATGTCTGACTTACTGATTCCCTGTCTATAAAGTCCTGCAGTATTGAACTCCTCTCTTAGGCCCCAGATTTCAGGAGAGATGTCCTTCAGATGTGCTAGGCCATTTTCTAGGAGTGTCTGGTGATCTGAATGGATTTTATTTAAAAAAAAAAAAAAAAAAAACTTGTGTTAACTGTTTTATGCAGGCACTTGAACTGGATAGCAGCAATGAAAAAGGCCTCTTCAGGCGTGGAGAAGCTCACCTGGCTGTTAATGACTTTGAATTAGCCCGTGATGATTTCCAGAAAGTGATACAGCTTTACCCAAGTAACAAAGCCGCCAAAGTGCAGCTAATAACTTGTCAGCAAAAAATACGGGAGCAGCATGAGAAAGAGAAGAAGATGTATGCCAACATGTTCCAAAGGCTCGCGGACAGAGACTTGAAGGTAAGTGGCACTGCTCTAGAAAACTGCAAGGCTCTTGATGTCAAGTGTTAGGCAAGGAATCGTGAGTCTTTAGTGTATTCATCTTAATAAAAATTGTGTAAACGGCACAATGGGAGAGCACGGAAGTAGCTGCCTTTGAAGAAATGGGAATAGCCGACGCTGTCAGGATTTTTCAGGTCATTTTGATTGAAGAAGACAGCTAGTAGTGCCAAGCATTGCACAGGGTACTTTGTTTCAGCTAACGTTTCAATGAAGTGCTGTTAAATACCAGTTAGCAATTGAAGTGATGAGCTACAAACATGATCAATGTTTGTAAGGAACTGAAAGATGTAGCTTTTTTCCTGAAATGACTTGATTGCTCTGTTCTGGCATCTGCATGGTCCATCCGCTCTGCCTTGATGCCTCTCATACTGAAGGTCTTGAGCGAAAGCTTGAGAACTGTCTTGCTGCTGCTCATGGAGACAAATATAAGGAGAACATCAACCACACACTGGTGTTATAAATTCATTTTGCACTGTTGGTCTTGAGCTATGTCTTTGGGCTCTCAGAATAGTTGTTATTCTACTGTATGGATGGTGTTTCTACTAAGTTTTCACTGACACCTTAGTAAGTATTAGTCCAATTAACTTGTAATCCCATACTGCACATATTATAATAGGGTATTTCAGCTAGCAAGAAGCATTATGGTGCCTGTGAGAATCCCTTTTCCCAAGAAAACGCTAATCTGCTTTATATTTGGTGGCCTCAGACTGAGTAGATCTAACTTCCAAGGCAGATTTGCTATTTCACTCAGTTTTCTCAGTGAGAAGAGTAGCAGAATGCCTGACACTGGATTTATTTCCACAGATTTTTTCCCTTCTACCTCCCCTGTATATACCTGAAGAATAGGGCAAAAATCATTCTAGTTTTATTGCTGTGTCCGTTCTCTCATGTGCTTTTCAGTGTCAGTAAGTCTGTCTTGGAGCCCTCTGTCCTCAGATGGATGAGGCTTTGGCTGTAGTTTCATGTTGCAGCTAACTGAGGTAATATCAGAGTTTAATGATTCTGCCCTTTTCTTGAAACCCCACACCCTTCCCAACCTTGCACATTGAGCTTCTTTGTGGGTGCCAGAGCCCTGGCACAGGCTGCCCAGGGAGGCTGTGGAGTCTCCTTCTCTGGAGATCTCCCAAACCCGCCTGGATGCCGCCCTGTGCCCCGTGCTCTGGGTGTCCCTGCTGGAGCAGGGGGTGGGACTGGATGATCCTTAGAGGTCCCTTCCAACCTCAACCACTCTGTGATTCTCTAGTATGGTGGGTATTCTTACCTCACTGTAAGACATAGTTCAGATTGCAATGCTAACAGGCAGAGTAGCAATTTCATTACAGTACCTTTGAAATGTTAATAGTACATGGCATTCTTCCCTTGTCACTTCTAAAATTACAGAAAGGTCATGTGGGATGCACAGAAAGTCTTAGGTTGTGGAGAAGCATCTTGCAGGGTCCAAGCGCGCTGTGAAGGTGCTTTCTCCATACGGGAGGGGAGCTATGCGAAAGCTGAAGCAGGACAAAAGCAATTCTATGTAGAAATGTCCAAAATGAGCTGCAGTTTGTGGCAGAACGTATTAATAAAGCATAGTGTGGGAAATATACATGCCAAAAGCATGTGCAACCAGTGTTGAGAACAGTAACCATCTAATATAAGTAGTACTGCCCAGCCTGCTTTATACAGTGCTCCTGTTCTGGGGGAGGGTGTTCTCTGGGCTCAGGTTCTTAACACCTTAATTCAGTCTTGCTGGGAGACCTAATGGCCACTGGGCACCAGGTAAGGTTTGTGGCATTGTTTGCCACAAACACACACAATTCTTTAAAAAAGTTCTTGGTTTAACAGAGGCTTTTTTTTCCCCCTTTTTCTCTGTTTAGTCTGCTGAAACTATTCAAACCAGCCACTCTGAAGATGCAGAAATGAAAAACGAGCAGAATGGAGTTGAAGATAAGTCTGAAGTTGACACAGAAGCTTAAGTGCAAACCCTATTCCATTAGTTTTGTAAACAAAAATTTCCAGTGAATTAGACCTTTATTTTTCTATGTGGTTGGACAGTGGCTTGAGGGGAGCAGAGACTGGGGCCACCATGCCACAGTCAGTTACAGCTTTACATGTCTGTGGAAGAAGCTCAATGGAAGCACAAATCTGGTTTAATCCTAAGGACTTTATTTATTCATTCAAACTGTTGTTGGGGTTCTATCAGGATTCATTATGCTTGGTTCTTTGAAGTTTGTTGTTGCTGTTTGTCTCTCTCGGGTTCCAATTCACTTTAATCGTAGGTTTTGCTTTCTGAAGTTGCTTTCTAAATTTACTTCCTTGGGGAAGGGAAGGTTGTTTCTTGTGGGGGAGGGATTTTTTTTTTTCTTTTAAGTAATCAAGCTTTTTGGAGGAGTCCTCATGTGAGACCTAAGAACAAATCACTGCTCCCCGTTCTGGCTTGGCCTTGTCCCTTTCCCTTATATAGGGAATCCCTTTCGTTAAGTGTTGTAACCTTCCTTGTATTTCCCCTCTTCCCCCACTGCTGAAGATGAAGACTGAAGTCACAGCTTGAGTAACGAAGCTCCAATTAAAACTAAAGAAAACAACTTTGCTTGTGTTTTTATTGGAATACGCACAGAATTAAAAGTGAACTTACTCTAGTCATTCAGTGTTTTTTTTCTCATCTGTAGTTGTATCTTGCTTTTCTGTTGTTCATTTCCCCAAGACTGAGGTAAATACGCTATAGGTTAGTTGTACAACAAAAGCGGGGTGAGTTAAGTGCCACGGGCTGGGGCTGGAAGGCAGAAGTCGAGCTCTGTTTCTGCCCTCTTGACTCTGGAACTGACTCTGTCCTTTTGCCTAGGGGGGAGATCTGAGATGATCACAGGGCTCGCAGTGCCCGTTCATTTTGCCTACTGAGGTGGGTTTTGTGCTCTCACAGGGAGACCGGCTACCTCTACACCACCACCCTAGGCAGCAGCTTTTGTTCAGATCGCTTTGAATGGACCCAACGAAGCTGGCGTGGCGGTGTGTGTGGCTGCTGCAGGGCTTGGCGAGAAGTTCCCTGTGACCTTCCCTGCCCCTAAGCATTTTCAGACATTTATTTTATTTGATTTGGCAAATAGGACAGCCTCAGACCCTTCAGTAGTGGTGAGCAGCTGGACAGACATTGACACTGGTGGAGTATTTTTTTTTTTTTCCCCACACATGATTAAAAGGATGCAGTTGCAAAAATAAGATGCCAAGAACCTGAGGCCTTAGTTTAATAATAATAATAATAATATAAAAAATCAGAACCACCCAGGGCAGCTGCCGAGG